TCGAGATTCATTGTAAAAATGTCCATTAGTATTAAAAATGCTAGGTAATCACATGTTGTTATTAATTGCCATCTTGTCTGCTTTTTGTACATATGCATAATTATTTATTGTAATATGCTCTTGTACCACCTTTTGTGGTTTCTGAGAATAAACTGATTCTGATTCATACCGAATACTTAATCTTGAGACCTATTAGTTGTCTCATAATTAACCAAAACATAAGCCCAAGAAACCAAACTCTAGCTCGCAAACACCCCTTACTCACCCCAATATCCCAAAGAATAACTAACTACCTCAATGAACACCAAACTCAAAATCGTAAACAAAACTGCAAAAAATCAACTATCTTCACCCCTAAACTCAAAATACCCAAAATAGACACAACGCTAGCTAACCAAATAAATAAACAAACCGACCCAAACATAGCTAAAACCACCAATTTGGTATTCACTCGCTGGAACACAAATATTGGATATTTGCATTGTATTGTGATTTTGAGCATCCGGGTGCCTATATAACATGTAATATATTTCCGATTATAGTACTTGTTGTTCATGCATATGTTCTAGCAATAAGAAATTTGATAAATATTCGTTTTGCTTAATTTCTACTTTGAAAAACTTCGTTGGCGCTCAGAACGCTTGGCGCTGTGTAATTCAGCACACGCATGGTTGGGTTCAAACCAAATTATGTTTATTTGTTATAATTTAAACCACCAGCGGCGGTACATGAGCATATATATAATGTCATACAATACAGAATAGTAGATCAAGATGGCAGTTTCCCTTTAAAGATTATGTATTTCTAAAGATTTGTACAATATATCTTGATAACTGTTTTTAATCTTTGATCTTTTGTGAAAATAATAGTGGAAATGGTTGAGTACATGAACTGGTTTAGTGACATATTTTACATTAAAAGTGGCGTGATTTACATCGTTAAAATATAAAAGAATCTACACAGTGATACAACTATAAATGGTTGTGATTTATTTAAGAACGAAGTCAGTAATTGGGAATTTAACTTCCTCTTTCCGACATTATGCGTATTTCGCACACAGTTAAGAACGAAGTGTAATTCATTTATTCATACCAAGTACGAATGCATCAATCCGCCCGCGTTGTATCTACTTACATGTCAGCGCATGATTGCCACATCTATTGCACGAATGAATGCGATAATAAACTTACCTGAGCTCACTCTGTGTTCTGAAGTAAAATCGATGTAAGGCACCCTACACGGCTTCGTTCACGTTCACCCTCAAATGTACGATAGAAAAATCTGCGATTCTGTGTGTTCTATGTTCAACTACATTTTTGTGACAGGCGTTCGTTTATTTATTAAAATTCCACAAATTCATAAATCACATTGAGTTGCTCGCCTCTTCTCGAGCTGCTCACACCCTCCACTGATGCTGGCTGCCTTAGCTAACTGGAGTCCGCATATAACTATTTACAAACTCTGTTCTAATTATGCTAATCGAGGAAGTGCATTATACCAGGTGACAAACTTAGTTATCCTGTCACACTAATCCCACTAATATGTCAACTGACTAAACGAACATCCTTTTTTATATACTTACGTAGGAGTATCACATTGGACAGTGCATACAACTGTTTGTCAAAACAATATCAAGCAACATTTTAGATTTAGAATCACCATACCATGACAACAGAAACATATATATTAAATTGTATATATTCATATTTGCCGATATTCATGATATATTAATTTTACCGTCATTGTTTGAAACTACTCTGAACGACTTGTATGTATAGATCTTCTTATTTGTAAACAGATGGCGCACTTATTATATATATTATTGATGTAACTGTCTGCTCAAGTGTTCTATTTCTTTATTGCGTAAAATGCTGTCAACATAAATAAATACAAATTATTTCATAACACTCCAAATAGAGTTGTTATAATGCCAATAGTATACACTTGTCACATACAATAATACTGTCCGGTATTCTTAGTAATATATTCAATAGCAACCACATATTGTGAGCATTAATGTCTGCAATGTAAAGAAACTGAATGAAGCAGAGGTAAAATCAATCCATATATACAAAATTGTATATTTTTGGAAATACCAAATATACAAAATTGTATATTTTTGGATATATCATATATACAAAATTGTATATTTTGTATATATTGGAATTTCGCCTCGTGTTGCATACATACACGGAAATTGGCCACATATACACTGACGGATCTTCAGACCCGATCTCCAACCACACAGGCTTCGGAGTCCATACCACACAACCAGTTATATCCACACAATCTTACCGACTCCCTAACAACCAATCTATATTCACGGCCGAACTTATGGGCATGGCCTCAGCCCTGCATAACCAACAATCTAAAAACAACAATAAAATCCTAATTCTCACCGACTCCCTTAGTGGACTACAAGCCCTCCAAAACAAAAATACCAAAAAACGACCTAAATTAATAAACCAAATACTTAAAAGCTCCAACGACCTAACAAAAGCAGGCAAACAAATAACCTTCTTGTAGATCCCCGCCCACGTAGGAATTTACGGCAACGAAAGCGCCGATAAAGCAGATAAATTATCTCTTAAAATACCAGAAATAAGCCTAAACCTACCCATCTCAAAATCAGAAATTAAACGTGTAAACAAACAAAAAATAAACAAAAAATGGCATAATCAATATCAAAACTCAAATAGCCAAATCAAAAAAGTGCTCAGAAAACCACTAGCCAAACCTAAAATCCTACACCCCTCTAAAAAAATTGACAGATTAATTACAAAACTCTAAACAGGACACACGAACCTAAATAACCACCTAAAACTTAAAAGACACACCACAGGCAACTGCCCCCACTGCAAACAACCCGAAACCACAGAACACGCACTCATCCACTGCACCCACTACCAAACACACAGAACCACACTACAAACCACCCTCAATCTAAATAAGGGTTCCTACTCTAGATGAAATACTAAACCCTCAAAATAAACTAGAAAACTTCAAGGCCCTAGGCGTATTCCTAATCAAAACAGACATAATTAAGCGCATCTAAAAACTAATTAATCTACCAATCCAAAATCCAATAAACATACAAACACCCACCTCACCCGGCTCCCTTAGTTCCCTCCTCCACCCACCTCGGCATTTATTCCAAATTTAAAAATCTCAAAAAAATCAATATATGCAACCCCTGAAAGCTCCCTCTTGGGTTGCACACACCACTTTCACCCTTTTCGGAATACACTAAATGGTCCGGCCAGGCCCGCGTGCGAAATACGCTGCAGTCGGAAAGCACACGTTAAATCTTCTATATCATGATCAGTCAGTAGTTGTCTCAGCACTACACAATCAGCAATCTAAAGAAACAACAAAAATCCTCATCCTAACCGACTCCCTCAGTGGACTACAAGCCCTCAAAAATAAAAACAATAAAAACCACCCCAAACTAATAAATCAAATACTCAATAGCTCAAACAACTTAACTAGGGCAGGTAAACAAATAGAGTACAAACAGGCCGCACCAAACTAAATAATCACCGTAAAATAGCTAATCTACACACAACAGGAAACTGCCCACATTGCAAACAACAAGAAACACCAGAACACGTACTCATTCACTGCACACACTACCAAACACACCGAACAACACTACAGACCACCCAAAATCTTAAAACCGGACTTACACTAGAATCAATCCTAAATCCATAAAATAAATTAGAAAAAATCTAAGCCTTAGGTTTATACCTAATTAAAACAGGACTAATTAGTCGCATTTAAACCCCAAATAAAATAATAAAACCAAAACTACCTTATCTAACAACCACCCAACACACACAGCTCCCTTAGTTCGTCCCCCACCCACTCTTGGCATTCTTTCCAAATCTCAAAATTTCAAAATTACTATATAAGCAACCCCTAAAGCCCCTAATTCATAGTCTTTTTATTGTTCAAATTACTGATAAAACATATTTTAACTTGTTCCTTCTAACCATATTTCCAAACAATTCCAAACAATTCCAAACCATTCCAAGTCATTCCAAACATTTCCAACGTTGGAAATATGTTTGGAAATGTTGCCATTCCAATTTTGGATTTTTTTGAAAGATCGACCTTCCAAGCTTTGGAAAGTTTGGAATGAGCGATCTTTCCAAAGCATTCCAACGTTCATTCCAAATTGGAATGGACGCTATTTGGTCTTGTGTTTGTATGGGTCTGAGATGGCTGTCAATCCGTGCAATTGATGCTACTGAACCATTTTGTATGGGTCTGAGATGGCTGGTGATATGTGCAATTGATGCTACTGAACCATTTTGTATGGGTCTGAGATGGCTGGTGATATGTGCAATTGATGCTACTGAACCATTTTTTATGTGTCAGAGATGGCTGGCGATATGTGCAATGGGTGATACTGTACCATTCTTGACTGGTCTTAGATTCATAAATTGTGTCTACTGGGTATGTAGGGGCTGATGACGTCTGCGATTATGTGAAACCATTTCCCGTGTCCCCCGACATGATATTGCTGGAATTTTGCTAAAAGTGGCGTAAAACCATACTCACTCACGCACTAATGGCCCTGTAGTAGACGCCATAAACCGTTTATGGTAACGTTATAGGTGGCAAATGGGATGTGCTGTCATGAATCTGATGCTTGATACAGTATGATTATTGGTTAAGAATGTAGCTATCTGATTGACCCGTTACCATCTTGTAAAACCTATTCAGGTCAGTTTGTGCAGGTCGTGTTAGACGCGACGACATTCGGCTGCCGCTTTTGCCACTAACCTCTTTTCCCTCACTACCGTCCGATGGTGGTCTGAAGATAGATGCTGTTGTCACATTCCGATACTGACACAAACAACTGACACAGTCCTGAACATCTTTCTTTTGTGGTTAAGTATTTGGGAGCATAACCAGTGCGTTCGTATATGTTTTTGAATAATTTACCATCATATTATGTTTTATATATATTATATGTACCGGTAATCTATTTTAAGGCTCATAGACAAGTTCCGCACAGTTCAGTCAGATCGATGGATAGTGGTAACAACCATCTCCTACCCTACTCCGGACATGGAGTTCCTGGCGAGCATCCCCGGGTGGAGGGTTGTTGTCGTCGGAGACACCAAGACGCCGGCAGACTGGAGGTAACAGAGTCTGTCTGTATGTCAGTGATGTACACCTAGGAAAACGTCGCTATTGACTTACATGTAATAGTAGTGCTGATTATGACATCCACTGGGAGGACGTCACCGTTGACGTTTGAACAACATGACACGCATGTATTCCCCATCAACGAGTTGAAACTAATTATGTCCCCGTTTCGACAACCAACTACTTGCCACAAAATATCAGTACATGAATGATAAGACCCGTGAAGATCCGGGGTAGAACAGGTCTTCAGCAACCCATGCTTGCCGTAAAAAGCGATTATGCTTGTCTTAAGAGTTGACTGACGGGATCGGATGGTCAGGCTCGCTGACTTGGTTGATGCATGTCATCGTATCCTAATTGCTTGGATCGATGCTCATGATGTCAATCACTGGATTGTCTGGTCCAGACTCGATTATTTACAAACCTCCGTCGTGTAGCTGGAATATTGTTGAGTGCGGCGTTAAACAACAAAAAACAAACACACTTAAATGATGACGCCACCTCACCTCACCTCACCTCACCTCACCTCACCTCACCTCACCTCACCTCACCTCACCTCATCTCACCTCACCTCACCTCACCTCACCTCACCTCACCTTATCCGAGTTCAGTTGTCATCAATGTCATCCCAGCACTTGCTTCATTACTCACTGAAATATTTGGAGGGGGTGCCCGACTTTTGCCAAGTGTATAGCATCACAAGTACACTATATATTCATTGCAACACTCATGATCAATAAACGATTAACGTTTTCTTTGGAGTGAGTGAGTGAATGAGTTTGGTTCAGCGCCACTTTTAACAACATTCCAGTTATAGCACGGCGTGGAAGATTATTGTTGGAGGAAAGCCCGAAGTGATGCAGGTCTTAGACGTTTACCACTTTGGTGAAACCCACGAGCACGAGTATGGTGCTGACAAACCTAAAAACATAATCGGGGCGAGCCGGGATTCGAACCCACAGTCTTAGGTTTCTGGCGTGCCCAAGGGATGCAACTCTGCACAGCGAATCACTGCGCCTTAGACGGCTGGAGATAACAGTGAAACAATGAATGTATTTTTATGTTATTTTCGGAGTAAAATTATAAGATAACACATTTTACTGTTTCAGGAACCCAAACTGTGTGTTTTTAAGTTTAGAAGATCAGCGTGGGCTGGGTTTTGCCACGGAGTCACTTCTGCCCGAGGAGAGTTATGCCAGAAAGACGATGGGGTATCTGTTTGCAATAGCCCATGGCGCAAAGGTAATTTATGAAACTGATGATGACAATCGTCCTCTGGATCTGCTGAAAACTTTCAAACTCGATCCAACGATGTGGGGCATCATGTTCAGAGGGGAAAAACTCTTTAATCCTTACCGCCATTTTGGACAGCCGACATTGTGGCCAAGAGGCTATCCGCTTGGTTCTGTAGGAGAAAGACCAACAACAGATTATGAACTAAATCACTGGAAAACGCCATCCATTCAGCAGGGTTTGGTCAACGGAGATCCAGATATGGATGCCATTTTCAGGCTGACCCGGAAACAAACCCGTTCTCAGCTGAATGTGACCTTTGATGGAAGAGCTCCACCATCAATTGTTCCAGCTGGCGTGTTCGCTCCCTTTAATTCCCAGAATACCCTTTTCCTGTATGATGCATTGTGGGCACTCCTAATTCCAACAACCACGACATTCCGAGTGTGTGATATCTGGAGGGGCTACTGGGCTCAGAGACTCTTGTGGGAGATGGGAGGTAATGTGGGGTTCTTCCCGCCTAATGCTGTCCAGAAGAGGAACTCTCATTCCTATCTCAGTGATGCCAAGGAGGAGAAGGATCTCTATTTCCAGACAGACCGCCTTGTTGATTTCCTCACCAAATGGAGATGTGAGGAAGGTAGAACATTGTTTGGTTGTATGACTAAATTATCGACTGATATGGTACATGAGAACTTCTGGGGGGGAAAGGATGCAAGTCTGACTTCCCTTTGGATCAAGGACCTAGTGGCACTTGGCTACCAGGAACCAAAAAGAATTCCGTTTGGTTCTCTGAAGGACGCTGCGCAATATGTAACAGAGGAGAAATTGCTAACACAAACTCGCACGACGGATCAACGGGTCAATGTGTCATTCTGGGCAGCTGGACAACCCCCACCCCAGATTTATTCCCAAGCTACGCAGTCACCTGCGGCGGTGTCGCATGCTGCTCAAATAGCTTCCTATTGTAGCAATGAATCGTTTATTACATCTAAACTGACAGATATCATTACATATCCAAATATTTTGTTAATTATAGTGTTCAACTTTCCCCACTATGAGAACCTCCAGTTTCTGGAGACAATGTACAGCATGCACTTCCCTCACATTATCTATTGTGGAGCCAACAAAGACCAATTTGACACTCACGCTAAGCTCCTCTCCAAGCCCGTGACCTTCATGGAGGTCGACCACGCTAATGGTTGGCTTGGTCAGCACTGTTTGATAGAAGCCATGAAAATGCAGTTCCGTGTTGATGGTTATTTGTACATGGGCGATGACGTCTTGCTTAATGTGTGGAACATTCACACGTTACCATTGAACAAACTCTGGGTTTATCACGCAAGAGTTGTACGACAGTCGAGGAGGGAACGTGGACATCGGGTAGACCATCCCAAAGTAGGGTCGCCAGCGTACCAGGCTGCTCTTAAAGCTTTGAAACTTGTAGATATTGACAGATATAACAGTTTCACGGACATGCTTTTCAACAATTCATGGAAGAGAGATGGATTTTTTATTGGTTCCTCGGACATTTGCTATGTTCCTGAAAAATACAAAGCTGACTATCTCTACTACATGGAACACTTCTCCAGGTTTGACTTATATATTGAGCTGATATTTCCAACAGTTCCCCGTGGAATAGAAAAGTCGGAGAATCTTTACATGATGAAGGGAACCTACTTCCTTTATGAACCGATCAGGGAAATACGGAAGTATTTTAATGAGAATCACCTCTTTGTGCACACTGTCAAAATATCACGATCAATATCTGTACCTGAAGGACGGACATTTTTCTGTAAAATTTTCTTTCCCCTAACTTTGAAAAATTAGCCATCCAAACACCCATGCTGAAAACATAAGAGTGAGTGAGTGAGTGAGTTGGGTTTAACGCCACTTTTAACAATATTCCAGTTATATCGCGGCGTGTCAGCTTAATGTGGGAGGAAAGCCCGAAGTGATGCAGGTCTCAGACGTTTACCACTTCGGGGAAACCCACGAGCACGGGTATGGTGCTGACAAACCTAGAAACATAATCGAGGCGAACCGAGATTCGAACCCACAATCATAGGTTTCAAATTAAAATGTACTTTATGCTTCGTGTTCTCTTTCTATCTGTCACAGTAATCGCCTCTCTCATCTCCCAGTACTCGCCCTTCTCTCATTCACATACTCGCCACTCTCTCCTCACCGTATTAGGCTTCGCTCCTTCCCATACACGCCTCTCTCTTCCACGTACTCGCTCTTCTCTCCTCCACATACTCGCCTACCCCTTCTCCCAGTACTCGAATCTCTCTCCTCCCCGTACTCGACCTTCTCTCTCCACATACTCGCCTACCCCTCCTCCCAGTACTCGAATCTCTCTCCTCCCCGCACTCGCCCTTCTCTCTCCACATACTCGCCTACCCCTCCTCCCAGTACTCGAATCTCTCTCCTCCCCGTACTCACCCTTCTCTCTCCACATACTCGCCTACCCCTTCTCCCAGTACTCGAATCTCTCTCCTCCCCGCACTCGCTCTTCTCTCCTCCCCGTACTCGCCTTTATCTTCTCCCAGTACTCGAATCTCTCTCCTCCCCGTACTCGCCCTTCTCTCCTCCACGTACTCGCCTACCCCTTCTCCCAGTACTCGAATCTCTCTCCTCCCCGTACTCGCCCTTCTCTTCTCCACGTACTCGCCTACCCCTTCTCCCAGTACTCGAATCTCTCTCCTCCCCGTACTCGCCCTTCTCTTCTCCACGTACTCGCCTACCCCTTCTCCCAGTACTCGAATCTCTCTCCTCCCCGTACTCGCCCTTCTCTCCTCCACGTACTCGCCTACCCCTTCTCCCAGTACTCGAATCTCTCTCCTCCCCGTACTCGCCCTTCTCTTCTCCACGTACTCGCCTACCCCTTCTCCCAGTACTCGAATCTCTCTCCTCCCCGTACTCGCCCTTCTCTTCTCCACGTACTCGCCAACCCTTCCTCCCCGTACTCGCCCTTCTCTCCTCCACGTACTCGCCTATCCCTTCTCCCAGTACTCGAATCTCTCTCCTCCCCGTACTCACCTCTCTCTCCTCCCTGTACTCGCCTTTATCTTCTCCCAGTACTCGCCCTTCTCTCTCCTCCCCGTACTCGCCCTTCTCTCCTCCACGTACTCGCCTACCCCTTCTCCCAGTACTCGAATATCTCTCCTCCCCGTACTCACCTCTCTCTTCTCCCTGTACTCGCCTATCTCGGTGTGTTATGCTTATCTGTATAAGATAGTATCAAAATGAAAACCTAAATATATATAAATGTTAGGCCCCTCGGTACAGTAATGGACAGTAAATGTATGTCTGTATGTTTGATATGAGCGATTGATGTATCTCGGCAACGTTCCCCGTGTGCACATTGTTACCTATCTGGTATGTAATGTCTTCTCAGATAGTATATAAATATTCTATCTTCCATGATTTGTAATACTTACTGTATTGTCATAGTAATATATTTTGTATCTGTGTATTGATGTATTGATGTATTGATATATTGTACGGATACGCGTGATGTATTGTACAAATACGTGCAGTACTAGATGATGTAAAGTTAGTGCTATTTATTTAATGAAAGTGATATCTATCTTCAAGAAATTCAAAGCATAAATGTTACAGATTGTGTATATTTATTAGATTTTGTGTTATAATTCCCTATGTTGCTATTTAATTGTTTCAAGCTGACGTACGTATATGCGTACATACAATTCATAATAAACGTCATCAGCCTCACCCCCCACAGCTGTTTGTGATTATTTATTATATCGGCTACAACTATCGGCCAACACATGTACTCTCTCTCCTTCACATACTCGCCTCTCTTTCCTCACCGTACGGGTCTCTCTCTTCTTCCTGTACTCGCTTCTCTCTCCTTCACATACTCGCCTCTCTTTCCTCACCGTACCGGTCTCTCTCTTCTTCCTGTACTCGCTTCTCTCTCCTTTACATACTAGCCTCTCTTTCCTCCCCGTACCGGTCTCTCTCTTCTTCCTGTACTCGCTTCTCTCTCCTTCACATACTCGCCTCTCTTTCCTCCCCGTACCGGCCTCTCTCTTCTTCCCGTAATCGCCTCTCTCCCCTTCACATACTCGCCTCTCTCTTCTCCAAGTACTAGCCTCAGTCTTCCCCCTGTAATTGTCTCTCTCCTCCCCGTTATCGCTTCTCTCTCCTCCCCGTTATCGCTTCTCTCTCCTCCCCGTACTCGCCTCTCTCCCCTCCCCGTACCCGTCCCTCTCTCCTCCAAGTACTAGCCTCTGTCTTCTCCCTGTAATCGTCTCTTTTCTCCCCGTTCTCGCTTCTCTCTCCTCCCCGTACTCGCCACTCTCTCCTACCCATACCAGTCCCTCACTTCTCCAAGTACTAGCATCTGTCTTCTCCCGTTAATCGTCTCTCTCCTCCCGGTTCTCGTTTTTCTCTCCTCACCGTAATAGCCTCTCTCTCCTCCCCGTTCTCGCTTTTCTCTCCTCCAAGTACTAGCCTCTCTCTCCTCCCCGTACTCGCCTCCCTCTCCTCCCCGTACTAGCCTCCTCTCCTCACCGTACTAGCCTCCCTCTCCTCCCCGTACTCGCCTCTCTCTCCTCCCCGTACTAGCCTCCCTTTCCTCCCCGTACTCGCCTCTCTCTCCTCCCCGTACCCGTCCCTCTCTCCTTCAAGTACTAGCATCTGTCTTCTCCCTGTAATCGTCTCTCTCCTCCCCGTACTCGCCCCCCTCTCCTCCCCGTACTCGCCTCTCTCTCCTCCCCGTACTCGCCTCTCTCTCCTCCCCGTACTCGCCTCTCTCTCCTCCCCGTACTCGCCTCCCTCTCCTCCCCGTACTCGCCTCTCTCTCCTCCCCGTACTCGCCTCTCTCTCCTCCCCGTACTCGCCTCCCTCTCCTCCCCGTACTCGCCTCTCTCTCCTCCCCGTACTCGCCTCTCTCTCCTCCCCGTACTCGCCTCTCTCTCCTCCCCGTACTCGCCTCCCTCTCCTCCCCGTACTCGCCTCTCTCTCCTCCCCGTACTCGCCTCTCTCTCCTCCCCGTACTCGCCTCCCTCTCCTCCCCGTACTCGCCTCTCTCTCCTCCCCGTACTCGCCTCCCTCTCCTCCCCGTACTCGCCTCTCTCTCCTCCCCGTACTTGCCTCTCTCTCCTCCCCGTACCCGTCTCTCTCACCTCCCCGTACCTGTCTCTCTCCTCCCCGTTCTCGCTTTTCTCTACCCCGTACTCGCCTCTCTCTCCTCCCCGTACCCGTCTCTCTCACCTCCCCGTACCTGTCTCTCATCTCCCCATACTCGCCTCCCTCTCCTCCCAGTATTCGCCTCTCTCTCCTCCCTGTACCCGTCTCTCTCACCTCCCCGTACCTGTCTCTCATCTCACCGTACCCGTCTCTCTCACCTCCCCGTACCTGTCTCTCATCTCCCCGTACTCGCCTCCCTCTCCTCCCCGTACTCGCCTCTCTCTCCTCGCCGTACCCGTCTCTCTCACCTCCCCGTACCCGTCTCTCTCACCTCCCCGAACCCGTCTCTCTCTCCTCCCCGTACCCGTCTCTCTCAGCTCCCCGTACCTGTCTCTCATCTCCCCGTACCCGTCTCTCTCTCCTCCCCGTCTCTCTCAGCTCCCCGTACCTGTCTCTCTCCTCCCCGTACCCGTCTCTCTCTCCTCCCGATACCTGTTTCTCATCTCCCCGTACTCGCCTCCCTCTCCTCCCCGTACTCGCCTCTCTCTCCTCCCCGTACCCGTCTCTCTCACCTCCCCGAACCCGTCTGTCATATCCCCGTATCCGTCTCTCATTTCCCCGTATCTGTCTCTCATCTCCCCGTACTCGCCTCTCATCTCCCCGTACTCGCCTCTCTCTCCTCCCCGTACTCGCCTCTCTCTCCTCCCCGTACCCGTCTCTCTCTTCTCCCCGTATCTGTTGACTGTCATTGAGAGAGTACCCGTGTTTGCTACCAGGAATACAGCCCTTTTTACAATTGTGCAGTGTTGGAGAGTCCTCACATTCTCCGAAAAGTTCTGGGTGGTTTTGACTTGGCAGCGCTTCGGGGGAGAAGTCCCATTCGCTGTCTGGGCTGCGTGTAGAGAGTGCAAGGGCCCTGAGCTGATGATGAGCCTAACCAGCCTGACTGAGCCAGGATCACCCAAACCCTCTTTGTTGCATTTTTTATTTTAATTTAATAATAATAATAATAATAATAATAATAATAACAATGATAATAATAATAATGATAATGATAATGATAATAAAAATAAAAATAATGATAATAATAAAAATAAATAATAAAAATAATAATAATAAAAATAAAAATAATAATAATGATAATAATAAAAATTAATAATAATAATAATAATAATAATAATAATAATAATAATAATAATAATAATAATAATACCGACGGTTCCTCGAGGTTACAGGTTATAGACCACAATTGTTTCCAAAACCTTTCACTGGAATCCATGGTGGGTCGTTTCTTATCACTGCCATTTCATGCATTTAGTTGCCTTTATTTTTTTCTTTGGATTTCCACAATTTGTTTTGTTTTATGAAATGGTACGCCCCGGAACATGTACAGAGAGTCATGGAAAATGAGAAATACAAAATTATTTGGAATAAGCCCGTATACAGCCTTAGACGTATCCAGGCCAACAAACCGGATCTTGTCCTTTTTGATAAGTCCAAAGAAACCATTGAAAGCACTGACTTTTCTGTCCCTTTTGACACCAATTGATTGACAAGATTGAGGAAAACATGGCAAATATGCGGACCTCGCTTTCGAAATGTCACTCTTACATCCCCAGTGCCAAGTTGTCCGATTCCCCATTGTTCTCGGTGCCTTAGGTTTGGTACCTCCCAATCTGTTGACTGACATTGGGAGTACCCGGGTTTGCTACCAGGAATACAGCCCTTCTGACAATCTGGGTTATGCAGAAGGAAGGCTGCAGTGTTGGGGAGTCTTTACATTATCCGAAAGGTTCTGGATGGGTTTGACTAGGCAGCGGTTCCTGGGAGAAGACCCATCCGCTGTCTGGGCTGCGTGTAGAGGAGGCAAGCGCCCTCACTGAGCCAGGATCACCTAAACGCAGTTTGTTGCATTTTTTAAATTTTAATCTGTACAAGAACAAGAACAACAACAACAACAACAAAATAATAATAATAATAATAATAATAATAATAATAATAATAATAATAATAATAATAATAATTGAAGAAGAAGAAGGAGAAAATGGCACGATCTGTCCCCGGGTTGTATTGCCAGGTTGTCTATTGTGAACACAATTAACGATTCGTAATTATGTAAAACAAACACAAGATCATGCGTAGCATTATCTGTTTTCAGTCCTGGATTATATATCATCACAGTTTTCTTTATTTGATGTAAGATATTGCATGATTTCTGTGACTATATAGTCTATAAAGAGATATGCGTATGCAGACGAATATTGCATAATCAATCATTATAAATCAACATATCAGCTACTGAACAAACTCGATTATCTTTTCGTAATTCATGCCAACTATTTCTATAAAGATGATTGTATGTTTACACAAACTCATATCAAAATCACAGCAACCGGGTGCGTGCTTCTCGCTTGTTCACACGAGAGCGAGAACTCCTGACGGCCATTGTGTATTGGCGGCCATGTTGTTGATGCAGCGACTGTGGTGGGCGGCGCGCCTACCTGTCTACATAGGACAACCATTTGCCAGACTGAAGCCAACCCCCCAAGTCACGTCTTGCCACACCCTGCCACCATTCCGACGTCAGCCTCACCCTGATGGTCACGTGACACAGCGATGGAGACAATATACACCTTCATCCTTATTGTCACCATTCAAACAATTGGACCGCCTTCAACAGATGGCGCTCACCTGTTCTGGCATCCTGTTTATAAAGTATATAAGAATCGTCATCTGTCATGTCGTTCTTTATATGTGGGTGTGGGTTGCGGAACGAGAGATCAGGTAACCACAGTTTGGAAATCGTAGGTCAGGGACGGTTTTTGTGGTCCTCGCTCAGAATTTAACCACATTCGTTCACCTTGATTTGAAACGCTGCGTTATAGGATAGTGTAAGAGGTTGTTTGTGCAGAGAAAGTCTGCATATATATTGTTGTGATATCTTCACTTATTCTTGGTTCGCCACGGAAACACATTCAGCTCCTTATATAAAGTACGAACATCGGAGCTGCTTAGGCTACTCTTGCAGACGTGGCCGCTGTTGTCATGGCGCCGCTGACGTTACTGTTGATGTTCGTGGTATTGGCCAGTGGTCAGGGGGTGGATCTGACTCTGACCGAGAACACTGCCGGACATGAGGTGGTGGAGGCTGTGGTTGACCGGATAAGAGCTCAGTGCTTATTCACGGATGATCGATTCTTACTACGGCGTCTGGCGTTTGTGGAGAGTCAAGATGGCGAGGCTGCCGACACCTACAGAGTCGACTACCACGGCGGAATATGGAAGGTATGTTAGTATGATCCGCACGGAGATGAGAGTGTAAACTGAATGAACACTTGTCCGTTAAGTGGGGAAGTATGTGTTTGATGTTTAACGCCGCACTCAGCAATGGAAGGTATGTTAGTATGATCCGCACGGAGATGAGAGTGTAAACTGAATGAACACTTGTCCGTTAAGTGGGGAAGTATGTGTTTGATGTTTAACGCCGCACTCAGCAATGGAAGGTATGTTAGTATGATCCGCACGGAGATGAGAGTGTAAACTGAATGAACACTTGTCCGTTAAGTGGGGAAGTATGTGTTTGATGTTTAACGCCGCACTCAGCAATGGAAGGTATGTTAGTATGATCCGCACGGAGATGAGAGTGTAAACTGAATGAACACTTGTCCGTTAAGTGGGGAAGTATGTGTTTGATGTTTAACGCCGCACTCAGCAATGGAAGGTATGTTAGTATGATCCGCACGGAGATGAGAGTGTAAACTGAATGAACACTTGTCCGTTAAGTGGGGAAGTATGTGTTTGATGTTTAACGCCGCACTCAACAATGGAAGGTATGTTAGTATGATCCGCACGGAGATGAGAGTGTAAACTGAATGAACACTTGTCCGTTAAGTGGGGAAGTATGTGATTGTTGTTTAACGCCGCACTCAGCAATGGAAGGTATGTTAGTATGATCCGCACGGAGATGAGAGTGTAAACTGAATGAACACTTGTCCGTTAAGTGGGGAAGTATGTGATTGTTGGTTAACGCCGCACTCAGCAATGGAAGGTATGTTAGTATGATCCGCACGGAGATGAGAGTGTAAACTGAATGAACACTTGTCCGTTAATTTGGGAAGTATGTGTTTGTTGTTTAACGCCGCACTCAGCAGTATTTCAGCTATCCGACAGCGGCATGTAAATAATCGAGTCTAGACCAGACAATCCAGTGACTGTTATTTTGAGCAACGATCCACGCTTTCGGGTCACAGTGACACGCTACCAATTCTACCAAGATTCTCCCCGGGGTGGAAGGGTGTGTGGCCTGATCAAATAAATGTACAGACAATGACTAGTTAATCGAGAGCAAGCATTTTAGTACAACAGTTATTACGGCTTATCAACATAAAGATCAGGAGTAAGCGAGTATGATTTTACGCCGCTTTTAGCAATATTCCAACAAAATCACGGCGATGGACAACAGAAATGGACAACACGTTGTACCCATGTCGGGAATCGAACCGAGCCCTGCTGCGTGACGAGTGATCGCGTTAACCACAAACCTACCAAACCACCCCGTCAACAGTGGGTAGGGATGCCCATGGTTACGTCGTTGATGTTCATCTCTTGGTAAACACCGCGAACATGGATGAGGGGTTGATAGTCTCATGAAACTGATGCTAGAGCACCAGAATACTGTCCCAACCGAAGAACCAAACAAACCCCCCCCCCCCCCCCTCTCCACAGGTGCAGATCCGATTAAAATTGAAAGTAGAGAGCGAAAGGTCCGGGGTTCGATCCCCGGCCGCGTCATACCAAAAGACGTTAAAAGATGGAACTTGTTGTTACCCTGTCTGGCGCTCGGCATTGAGGGGCTAAAACAAGGACTGGTCGGTTCGGAGTGAGTAAACTGTGTCTGAGTGGGGTATTCATGTTAAACTGCAGCATGGTGTCTCAGTGAGCTAGCACTTTAAAATCGGCATTGGTCTAGACTAGTACAAGAAGCCACACGCCTTGACGTGTATGCACGTCGCTATATAAGTGCAATAATATTGGACGCGACGTTAAACTCCATTTCACCTCACCAAATATTGAAAGTGCATGTTTTGTCAATATTAACCGATGTCCTGTGTTACCTGACTGCTGCTCCTTCTACTAGGTGGACTACGCCATGTTTGCCAAGACTTCCGCCTGCGCGCACCCTCTGCGGAACCCCTGTGCGCACATCAAGTCCGCTTTCGGCATTGACTGGACGCGCGTCTCTTGGAGCGATCTAAGGAAGCCGCTGTACTCGGGACTGGGCGCCGTTCTCTTCATACTCTCACTAAACCGCCCGTCTCTACCAGCTGACACGGTGTCACAAGCCCAGTTCTGGTCCACGGACTATAGAAGGGGGGCCTACATGAACAGCTACATCCTGGCGGCACAACAGATCAGAGATACAGGTGAAGCGGGGGCGGGGGCGGCAAGAATTCTGACACTCGTTTTGTAGTGAGTGAGTGAGTGAGTTGGGTTTAACGCCTCTTTTAACAGTACTCCAGTCATATCACGGCGTGTCAGCTTAATGTGGGAGGAAAGCCAGAAAGTGATGCAGGTCTCAGACGTTTACCACTTCGGTGAAACCCACGAGCACGGGTATGGTGCTGACAAACCTAGAAACATAATTGGGGCGGACCGGGATTCGAACCCACAATCATAGATTTCTGGCGTGCCCAAGGGACGCAACTCTGCACAGCGAATCGCGGCGCCTTAGACGACTAGGCCACCTGTGCCCCCCACTAGTTTTGTAAAATCAGTATGACACACATGCTCTGATGATAAACTCTATTTATGTCCTTGTCTGATCCCAAGAGCTGATACATCAATAGTTCTATACTATGGACTATTTTATACCAGGCTGTTCCTCTGAGCTGGACCTAGCCTTCGTCTTGGACGGGTCTGGCAGCATTCACCCTGATGAGTTTGAGCGGGTCAAAGGCTTCGTCATCAACGTTGTCCGCGACTTCAACATCTCGAAACAAGGCGTTCAGGTTGCCGTCGTGGAGTTCAGCAGCCACGTTGGGAATGTCATCCACCTTAACAGGTACTTGATAACCCCGTTATTACTGTTAATCTTATACCGCCAGCTTAACTGTACAAACCCGACAGTTAGCGGAATGCGGGAATTGGGCAGTTCCGTCACTTTAACGAGGTACTGGTTGTATACAGGGATTGGTTGTATACCGGTATTGGTTGTATACAGGTATTGGTTGTATACCGGTATTGGTTGTATACTTGTATTGTTTGTACACAGGTATTGGTTGTATGCAGGTATTTGTTGTACACAGGTACTGGTTGTACACGAGTATTGGTTGTACACAGGTATTGGTTGTACACAGGTAATAGTTGTACACAGGTATTGGTTGTACACGAGTATTGGTTGTACACAGGTACTGGTTGTACACGAGTATTGGTTGTACACAGGTATTGGTTGTACACAGGTAATAGTTGTACACAGGTATTGGTTGTACACAGGTACTGGTTGTACACAGGTGTTGGTTGTACAGAGGTGTTAGTTGTACACAGGTATTTGTTGTACACAGGTACTGGTTGTACACAGCCATTGGTTGTACACAGGTATTGGTTGTACACAGGTATTTGTTGTACACAGGTACTGGTTGTACACAGCCATTGGTTGTACACAGGTATTGGTTGTACACAGGTATTGGTTGTACACGAGTATTGGTTGTACACAGGTATTGGTTGTACACGAGTATTGGTTGTACACAGGTATTGGTTGTACACGAGTATTGGTTGTACACAGGTATTGGTTGTACACAGGTATTGGTTGTACACAGGTATTGGTTGTACATAGGTATTGGTTGTACACAGGTATTTGTTGTACACAGGTATTGGTTGTACACGAGTATTGGTTGTATGGATGTATTGGTTATACAGAGGTAGTGGTTGCAGACGGGTATTAGTGTAACACACGTATTGGTTGTATGCAGGTATTGGTTTTACATAGGTATTGCTGTATACAGATACTGGTTGTATACGAGTATTGGTTGTACACAGGTATTTGCTGTACAGAGGAATTGCTTGTAGACAGGTTTTGGTTGTACACAGGTATTGGTTGTATGGATGTATTGGTTGTCCAGAGGAATTGGTTGTATACCGGTATTGGTTGTATACAGGTATTAGTTGTACAGATGTATTGGTTGTACATAGGTATTGTTGTATACAGGTATTGGTTGTACACAGGTATTGGTTGTACAGAGGAATTGGTTGTAGACAGGTATTGGTGAAGGATGTACATACACACCTGGCGATACTTTTGGCATCTTTTACCAATCGTTTTCCATTTATTGTGTCGACAAATGTTACATTTTGATGTCCTGATACCAAAAGGCACGTGTACGTTTTAATGCTGCTTTCGCGTCACTCACTCACTCACTCACTCACTCACACACTTAGGCAATATAAAAAGCTGTCAACGATGGACAGTACAATAACTAGAATATCACAGAGTCTATTTAAAACTAGTTGAGAATATATAAAAGTCATAAGTATTAGTGAACAACACAATATAAAAATGGGCTAGAGATCGTCAGGAACTAAAGGGAGATCACCATACTAGGGACCATGGGGACTTACAGTACCTTAGCTTCCTGCATGGACCCTGGCTTGATTTATATCATTCCTTCAGTCACTGGCGATAGTTTACCAGTAAAGCCTAATATTAAAATGACAAAAATTCTACGTATTAAAATTCTGGCATGCATATCAACATTTCGAATGATGTGGGACTTACATACCCTCTTAGGGCCAACTGAGAAGATGCACTTTGATGTTATATTATGTATCTACACACAGCTACTCAGACAAGACGTCCCTGAACTACGCCATCGGTAGAGTCCAGAAGAGCGGCCACACCACCAACACAGCGGCCGCCATCGACGTTGTGACCTCATCAATCTTCACAGCCAATGAAGGGGCTCGTATCAACGCCAAGAGAGTGACCGTCCTACTGACCGATGGCGCCTCGGGCAACCGCCCAGCGACCGTCGCCGCAGCCCAGAAGGCCAAGGACAAGGGGGTCATCATGTTCACCGTCGGGGTAGGCAGCGTCAACGACGAGGAACTCAATAAAGTGGCCAGTCAACCCAGCTGCACACATTACTACAAACTCAACAACTTCGGCGAGATCGACCACTTGGTGTATGAGATTAAGAAGCGCTCTTGTAGAGGTACGTGTTGTCCGTCAGTCCGAGCACAGAGTGGATGTACTAAAGTGAGTGAGTGAGTGAGTGAGTGAGTGAGTGAGTGAGTGTGGCTTTACGCCTTTTTTTAACAATAATCCAGCAAGATACCACGGCGGTGACACCAGAAATTGGCTTCACACATTGTACCCATGTTGGTAATTGAACCCGGGGCTTCTGTGCGACGAGCAAACTCTTTAACCACTAGGCTACCCCACCGCCCCGTTGTACTTAAGTGACTGATGTGCTTGCTGAGACAGTAGGATACGGCTGAAATTGACAATTGTGCCTTGTTTAACAATACATCGTCCGCCTGCACAGTCATCAAACAACACAAGTGCGTTTAGCAAACCATCAAAATAATGAATACCCGTGTTTGATTACTCATTTGATTATTGGAGATGTCTGTCAGTCAGATTGCCATCTGTGCCCACATATATACTATCGGTTCGAATGGATCTTTTAATCGCTATTGGCAACAGCTGTAGCTGTAGTTTGACATACAAGTTCAGTCATACGTATTATGCAGCCGTGTATGAAGATGCACTTATTTAAGTTTGATTATTGTTGTTTGAGCTACACATTCAGTCATACGTACAATATAGCAATGTATCAAGATGCACTTTTTTAATGTTTTGAAGAAGCATTTACAGTATCCGATCTCTTTCCAGCCCCCAAAGTAATATCAGCCACGTCCGACGATGACACGCCCTCCTCAGTGACCACGCCCCTCGGCACGGACACCGTGACAAACACCTTCGTTCTACACCCAAACAACTCAACCTCAGGGTCGGGCACAGACAAAGTCATTGTGAGTCTGTCTGGGAAATATGTGTACTCTGCTTTTCTTATGGTCTTTGTTGTAGACCTTCGCGGCGATGCCGGAATACTTGTTCTCTGCTTTTAATATGTTATTGTTGTAGACCTTCGCGGCGATGCCGGAATACTTGTTCTCTGCTTTTAATATGTTATTGTTGTAGCCCTTCGCGGAGATGCCGGAATACTTGTTCTCTGCTTTTAATATGTTATTGTTGTAGCCCTTCGCGGAGATGCCGGAATACTTGTTCTCTGCTTTTAATATGTTATTGTTGTAGCCCTTCGCGGAGATGCCGGAATACTTGTTCTCTGCTTTTCATATGTTATTGTTGTAGCCCTTCGCGGAGATGCCGGAATACTTGTTCTCTGCTTTTAATATGTTATTGTTGTAGCCCATCGCGGAGATGCCGGAATACTTGTTCTCTGCTTTTAAGATGGTATTGTTGTAGCCCTTCGCGGAGATGCCGGAATACTTGTTCTCTGCTTTTAAGATGTTATTGTTGTAGCCCTTCGCGGAGATGCCGGAATACTTGTTCTCTGCTTTTAAGATGGTATTGTTGTAGCCCTTCGCGGAGATGCCGGAATACTTGTTCTCTGCTTTTAAGATGGTATTGTTGTAGCCCTTCGCGGAGATGCCGGAATACTTGTTCTCTGCTTTTAATATGGTATTTGTTGTAGCCCTTCGCTCAGATGCCGGAATACTTGTTCTCTGCTTTTAATATGGTATTTGTTGTAGCCCTTCGCGGAGATGCCGGAATGCTTGTTCTCTGCTTTTAATATGTTATTGTTGTAGCCCTTCGCGGAGATGCCGGAATACTTGTTCTCTGCTTTTAATATGGTATTTGTTGTAGCCCTTCGCTCAGATGCCGGGGCGGAAAAGTATCTCCTAACACATGTCTGTTATAAGAATCGGCTAGGGGATGAATGTTTATGAGGCGTGACGGTGATTGGTTCCGTAGCCCGAGGATTGTTGGCTTGACTGTTCCAAGATTGTTAATTAGATTGCCTGCTAGATCCTTTGCTAGATTGTCTGCTAGATTGTCTGGTAGACCCAGATCTGGTCGTCCTACATGATATAGACCAGCTTGATAATCCTAAACTAATACCCACACTGGCGTAACCCTTCGGCGGCTTCATCCTGTGATTTATGGCATATACACTGACAGAAAACGGATGTGGAATGCGGCATCCTGAAGATATACGCCTCCTACGACACGCCCAACCCCGGCCCAGCCTTCTACAACGTCAAAGCGCAGGTAGTGGACGGGCGACCTTCCATCATGAAGGTCAACACCACCAGGGAAGGGAGACCACTCTACGTGACTGTCATTGGCACCAAGCTCCAGGAGTCGTGCTCCGATGTGTTGAAGTGCCGAGATGCCAAGTTCTCGCTCAGTGTGGTGGATGCCCCTGCCACTTCAGGTACTGCCAGATGTTCAAGTCAGACATCATATACAGTAAACTACGTTTATAACGAACACACTTATTACGAACAGGCCGATATAGCGAACTTAATTTTAGTCCCAGCCATTCGTTGTATATATGTTGTATGTATGGTTATAACGAACTATGGTAATTACGAAATGAAATTAGTGGTCCCTTTGTGTTCGTTATAACCGTAGTATACTGTAGTCAATATAACTGTGTCAAATCTGATTCACTGTGACCCAGACAAATAAGAGAGTGAGTGAGTTGGGTTTAACGCCGCTTTTAACAGTATTCCAGTTATATCGCAGCGTGTCAGCTTAATGTGGGAGGAAAGCCCGAAGTGATGCAGGTCTCAGACGTTTACCGTTTCGGTGAAACCCACGAGCACGGGTATGGTGCTGACAAACCTAGAAACATAATCGGGGCGAACCGGGATTCGAACCCACAATCATAGGTTTCTGGCGTGTCCAAGGGCCGCAACTCTGGACAGCGAATCGCGAAGGCGTTCACTTGGGTTCACATCAGATTTTGAGATTATTTTCGGAAATATATTTTGAATGAGGTGGTGCTTACTTAATGCTGATGTGTGTGTGTCCCTTAACATTGACCTAACCACGTATAACGCTTATAGCAAAAATATCAAATTGAAGCTTCTGAGCAATGAAATGCAATACAAATAGTCATCGTTGCATACCACGGGATCGGGTGGTCAGGCTCGTTGACTTGGTTCATGCATGTCATCAATCCCAATTGCGTGGATCGATGCTCATGATGTCAATCACTGGACTGCCTGGTCCAGACTCGATTTTTTACAGACCGCCGTCATGTAGCTGGAATATTGTTGAGTGCGGCTTTAAGAAGCAAACAAACACACAAAGTGTATACCATAGCAGCATGTTTTACCAAGGTGAGGTGTCGTACAATGGAGGCGTAATATACACATAGTCACGTGAACATCGTTATAGACATGTAGTCATGTGAACATCGTTGTATACAGTCACGTGAACATCGTTGTATACATAAAGTCACGTGAACATCGTTGTATACACATAGCGACGTGAACATCGTTGTATACATTTATTCACGTGAACATCGTTTTATACACATAGTGACGTGTACCTTAGTCACGTGAACATCGTTGTATACACATTCTCCAGTGAACATCTTTGTGCACCATTGTCACGTGAACATCGTTTTATACCTTTAGTCACGTAAACATCGTTTTATACATTTAGTCACGTGAACATCGTTTTATACAAATTGTCACGTGAACATCGTTTTATGCACATAGTGACGTGAACATCGTTTTATACCTTTAGTCACGTGAACATCGTTTTATACAAATTGTCAAGTGAACATCGTTTTATACATTTAGTCACGTGAACATCGTTTTATACAAATTGTCACGTGAACATCGTTTTATGCACATAGTGACGTGAACATCGTTTTATGCACACAGTGACGTGAACATCGTTTTATACACATAGTCACGTGAACAATGTTGTGTAACATCGTCACCTGAACACCGTTGTGTACCATCGTCGCTCTTGTTTCAGTGGTCAAGGTGGTGTGTCGTACATGGGAGGGAGAACGACCATGCACAGAGGCAGACCTGGTCATCAACGGATTCCAGACGCCCTCGTGTCCAAGTGAGACCCCAGAATACCGTCTCACTCATTACCCGCTCCGCCACATCGTGCCCTTCTTAAATCTCACACACAATACACGAAAACAGTGGCTTCGGACGTGTAAACCTGCAAAGAATCTCAACGCTCTGACGGCGTTAAATCTTTTTTCTGCAGAGCAATTTTAACCTGTGACTTATTGGTTTTCGGTTGATCTTATTATACTTTACACCTTATTCATGATATACTTCAGGTACTTTTTGCGAAAAACTTTAGACATTATTCTGGAGAGACTAAAACATTATTCAGGATATACTTTAGACATTATTCCCGATATTCTTTAAAAATTATTTATGACAGATTACAGACATTATTCGCGATATACTTTCGACTTTTTCGTGACAGACTTTTGACATTATTCCCGATTTACTTTAGATAAAATTCACAGGAGAATTTAGACATTATTCACGATATGCTTTAGACACGATACGCGAGCGACTTAAGGCATCATTGACGATGTACTTTCCACATTATTCACGAGATACTTACGATATTATTCACGATATATTTTAAACATGTTTACGAGAGACTGTAGACCAATCACGAGAGGATTTAGACACTATTCATTAGAGATTTTAGACATTACCTACGAGAGACTCAAGACATTATTTTCACGGGAGAATTTAGACATTATTCTTGAGAGATTTAAGAATTATTCACGATATACTTTAGACTTTATTCGCGTTTTACTTTAAAGATTATTTACGAGAGATTATAGACATTGTTCACGACTTACTTGTTCATGAGATACTGTATACCTTATTCATGACAAATGTAAGACATTATTAAAGATATACCTCAGACATTATTCATGATATACCATAGGCATTATTCACGAGAGACTTTAGACGACTGGCTGCAGCATAGATTTACCAAAGCCATAGCGCGAGGATTGCTCTGCAGAATACATTTACTGTCGTCATAGCACGAAGATTGCTCTTCAGAATAGATTTAAAGTCGTCATAGCGCTAAGATTGCTCTTCAGAATAGATTTACCGTCATCATAGCACGACGATTGCGCTTCAGAATAGATTTACTGTCGTCATAGGGCTTAAATTGCTCTTCAGAATAGATTTAAAGTCGTCATAGCGCTAAGATTGCTATTCAGAATAGATTTACCGTCATCATAGCGATAAGATTGCTCTTCAGAATAGATTTGCCGTCGTCATAGCGATAAGATTGCTCTTCAGAATAGATTTACCGTCGTCATAGCGATAAGATTGCTCTTCAGAATAGATTTGCCGTCGTCATAGTGCTAAGATTGCTCTTCAGAATAGATTTACCGTCGTCATAGCACGAAGATTGCTCTTCAGAATAGATTTGCCGTCGTCAAAGCGCTAAGATTGCTTTGCAGAAATAGATCTGCAAAAATACGTCCCTGGTTTATACGTTCAAAACCAGATTTCCATGTATTCTGTGTCAGATTTAAGAAGGGCACGGTGTGGCGAAGTGTGTAATGAGTGGCTGTTCAGTTTGTTGTAATAACTAGTTGGTTTCCGGATGATCTTATTTATCAGAATAAAAACGAAAATGAAAAATATGAACTTTTTATCGACCTGATGAAATGAAGAAATATCTAATCCATTCTATTATATATCCATCAACTGTATTTGTGGAGGAGATACAATACATGTGATGCTCTTCATGTTAAACATTTCTGATATTTTCACTCGCCGGGGTAGAATAGGTCCTCAGCAACCCATGCTTGTCGTAAGAGGCGACTAACGGGATCGGGTGGTGAGGCTTGCTGTCTTAGTTCATCCATGTCATCGTATTCCAATTGCTTGGATCGATGCTCATAATCTCAATCACAGGATTGTCTGGTCCAGACTCGATTATTTACAGACCGCCGTCATATAGCTGGAAGATTGCTGAGTGCGGCGTAAAACAACAAACAAACACTCGCCGGATCCGTAATGCAAGTAGTACAATACCACGGTCTAAAGTAATTACGTGTTTGTGCTTCAGCGACAACCAGCACCCTGGCCCCCAAGGCTGCTCGCATATCTAACCCCTGCAGCAGTGACGTCATTGCGGCCAGGTTCAGGGTCCAGCCTCATCCCTTTGACGTCAGCAAGTTCATCGTCTGTGACGTCAGAGGAAACATGTACATCACAGACTGCCCAAACCAAGGTAGTTTTAACCCATCATCTCTGACGTGTAACAACGCTGCCATCTTCTCCCTCGCCGACCCCACCAGCTTCAGCGGCTCAATTTACGACTACATCTGTAACGACATGCTTGTGCCTAGCAAGATGCACTTCCCGCACCCCGTGGACCAGACACAGTACATACAGTGCGACCTGCACAGCATCGCTCACGTCAGGTCATGCGGACAAGGCACCGTCTACAACGACGACATTCAAAACTGCGCCAACGTTGGCTCCAGCGCCGTGAAGGTCAAGGTTGTTGGTAATCCTTGTAAAACCGCACGTGTTGGCTCCCTGCATGCCCATTCCGATCCGAAGAAGTTCATTCAGTGTACGTCCTCTTCGTACGCCATCATGTCGTGCGGGGTAGGTACCCGGTGGGATGACGTCATCAAAGCTTGTGGCTGGTAATAGCCAAAAGACCACAGAATGACCTACACAGACGGCAGATCAAATGAAGACCAATGTTCATACTGCAGCGACATTGTCGCGACGACATCCGGCGTCATCACAGCATACTGCAGCGACATTGTCGCGACGACATCCGACAGCATCATAGCATACTGCAGCGTGACAACATGTAAATACTTGTTTTGTCCTGTTAACTTTATATCTTCTCACGTCATTCAGAATGGAAACGAATTTTAATAAACGATAATGTCATTGTCATAAGTCGTGTACACACAGATTATGTTTGTTTAATAGTTTAAATTTACCTATTTAACAATAGAAGGTCTGTTTCTGCTGCTAATGAGATGGTCCCACAGACACACGTCCAAGCTCAAACCGCCACCCAACCATACATATGCCCCAAAGGTGACCATCCACATCGTCTGCAAATAATCGAGTCTGTACAAGACAATCCAGCGACTGACACCGTGACCATCGATCCACGCAATTGGGAAACGATGACATTCATCAACCAAGTCAGCGAGCCCGACTAACGGGAAACCGGTGGTTAGGCTCGCTGACATGTCATCGTATCCAAACTACGTAGATCGATGCTCATGATGTCAATCACTGGATTGTCTGGTCCAGACTCGATTATTTACAACAAACAAGCATCTAAGCGTGAATAATGTATCACCCCGTGAAGATCCGGAGTAGAATATTTCTTCCTGTGAACCCATTCTTGCCGTAAAAGGCGACTATGCTTGTCGATGACATGATTATGTACCCTGTCCAGACTCGATTATTTACAGACCGCCGTGATATTGCTGGAATATTGCTAAAAGCGGCGTAAAACCAAACTCACTCACTCACTTGTCGATGACATGATTATGTACCCTGTCCAGACTTGATTATTTACAGACCGCCGTCATATAGCTGGAATATTGCTAAAAGCGGCGTAAAACCAAACTCACTCACTCACTTGTCGATGACATGATTATGTACCCTGTCCAGACTTGATTATTTACAGACCGCCGTCATATAGCTGGAATATTGCTAAAAGCGGCGTAAAACCAAACTCACTCACTCACTTGTCGATGACATGATTATGTACCCTGTCCAGACTTGATTATTTACAGACCGCCGTCATATAGCTGGAATATTGCTGAGTGCGGCGTAAAACACCCCAACCAACAAATCATCTCTATTTAACAAGCTTTGTCTTGAAATGGGTAGTGTGATCGATAAACCAATCCGACAATCTTGGTATCCGATCCGATAAATATCCAAATGAGGTCAGTAAGTTATGTCAGATGTTGGATGTACAACCTCGTGTTGCATAACGATCCCTAAATGACTACATACTGGTTGCCGAGTGTCTGTAAACAAACATGGCTGCTTGTCATGTGGCATTATCTAACGCAAGGGGCGGTTCATTCAGTATTTGTATTTCTTGCCGATGTGACGTTAGATATCAGCTCACTCACTCATTAAACCCTCACACCCACAGACAATCAGTGTATCCCTATCACGTACTGGGGGCCACGGGTGGCCCAGTCGTCTAAGGCGCCGCGATTCGCTGTGCAGAGTTGCGTCCCTTGGGCACGCCAGAAATCTTTGATTGTGGGTTCGAACCTCGGTTCGCACCGATTATGTTTCTAGGTTTGTCAGCACCATACCCGTGCTCGTTGGTTTCACCGAAGTGGTAAACGTCTGAGACCTGCATCACTTCGGGCTTTCCTCCCACATTAAGCTGACACTGCGTGATATAACTGGAATACTGTTAAAAGCGGCGTTAAACCCAACTCACACATGTTTCTAAAGTTACTCTTGTGAATAGCAATGTGTCCTAAAGGTCGAATATTTTTTAAATGACATCATATGTTCAATTGATTATTGCCCTCTCCGGCTTCCGTAATGTAAATACATCAGGACTAAAACATAAGTACTACGCCCACGGAGGGGCCGTATAATGCAATTTATATTCCTAAGAGATGATATACGATACGAAAACAGGGCTATTCCTCCCTACAAAATGATGTATGGTGTAAGCATTGTGTTGTATTCTTCACCTGACTCGCGGAGGCAATGTTGGTCCAGTCGTCTAAGGTGCCGCGATTTGCTGTGCAGAATTGCGTCCCTTGGGCAAGCCAGAAATCTATGATTGTGGGTTCGAACCCCGGTTCGCACCAATTAAGTTTCCAGGTTTGTCAGCACCATACCCGTGTTCGTGGGTTTTGCCGAAGTGGTAACCGTAAACCTCTCCTCCCACATTAAGCTGACACGCCGTATTATAACTGGAATACTGTTCAACGCGGTGTTAAACCCAACTCACTCACTCACCTGACTCGCTGACTTGGTTGAAGCAATTGATCCCAATTGCTTAGATCGATGCTCATGATATCAATCTCTGGATTATCTGGTCCACAAACCAACCAGCCAGGACCTGACTCAAACACATTATGTGAACAGGTTACTAGTGAGGTGTGACTGAAGTGAGATCAATCGGGACCACGTTATGACGTCCGACGAGACGGGTGGGTCTCTACGTGAAGATGCCAGAACAGTCACACGACCAAAGGTATGAGTAAGTATGAGACCCGTGAAGATTCGGAGTAGAATAGGTCGTCAGCAACCCATGCTTGCCGTAAAAAACGACTATGCTTGTCGTAAGAGGCTACTAACGGGATCGGGTGGACAGGCTCCCTGACATTTTTGATGCATGTCATCGTATCCCAATTGTTTATGATGTCAATCACAGGATTGTCTGGTCCAGACTCGAATATTTAGACCGCCGTCTTATGGCTGGAACATCGCTAAGTGCGGCGTTAAACAACATGAAACTGAAACTGTAAGTATGACCTTTTATGAAGTCACTATGTAAAAACCATAAGGATCGAATATACCAGTAGATTGACCACAAGTTCAGCCTTGCTACATGTACAAACAAGGTCCAACAACGTAACTTACATGTAAAGCTGCTTTTGCTGCCCCAAGATAAGATTTACCTGTTAACACGAAGTCAAACTTCGTTACAGACTGTGTTACACATGAAACAACTGACTGTGTTACACATGAAACAACTGACTGTGTTACACATGAAACAACGGACTGTGTTACACATGAAACAACTGACTGTGTTACACATGAAACAACTGACTGTGTTACACATGAAACAACTGACTGTGTTACACATGAAACAACTGACTGTGTTACACATGAAACAACTGACTGTGATACACATGAAACAACCGACTGTGTTACACGTGAAACAACTGACTGTGTTACACATGAAACAACTGACTGTTACAAATTAAACAACTGACTGTGTTACACATGAAACGACGAGTGTGATCAGTACAAGAGGAGGGAGCGGCTAGCGGGAAGTTTCCAGGCACTTCACACATGCGGGCACATGTTACACGGTCTGAACGGTTTATGACTACCTAATCTGGGCAACGAAATACGGCGCTATAAGTGCTTGTGGAGCTGATTTAAAGATGCAGTATCCAGTACGGGATTAATAGCGTGTGAAGAACATGTAGTCATATAACTCCACTCCACTCCACTCCACTCCACTCCACTCCACTCCACTCCACTCCACTCCACTCCACTCCACTCCACTCCACTCGTCGTTGAAGGTGGAAACGTCGCAACTTTTGGTCGTCTCGCTCGAATTCCCACTTTCCTCAGACGATTTCTGATGGTTTGCTCGGAAATTATTCGCATACCAGTCACTTGTCCTGCAGTGCCCGTTGCTGTAGCAAATCGACTCCCAAGGTGATGTAGCCGTATGTACCGATCCTGAGCAGGGTTGGTCACTCTTGGTCTTCCACTTCTGGGATGATCTTTAGTCGAATTAGTGCGGGTATATCGATCCCATAGTCGAGATATGGTGCTTTGGTGAACATTGAAGTGTCTTGCAACGGCAGACTGGGACTCTCCTGCTTCCAAACGTCCAATGGCGATATTTCGGTCAGGTGCAGTTAATCTTGGCATTTTTCGATCTCCGTTCACGTCAGAAAATTCGTAATGAACTGGTGAATTTGGTACGGTCTTTTATAGTCAGTATCTCTACTCTTGTTTCCAACACTTTGCACGTGCATTGTGCTGAAAACTTTTTCTGAAAGCAATTTCAATGCATCCTTTGCATTTGTGCTGATAAACGTTTACAAAAAAACACATTTTAAGATGTGTTTCCACGCAATGCACAACAATCAGACAAACAGAATTGTCTTTATGACGATTGCTGGGAATTCTCAAAACACCTATGCGTTTCCTTTTTTTAAGAGTGTAAATATCCTTACATTGCACATAATCTTAGCGTCCTTATGTTGTACATACTCCTGATAACGTATGTTGTACATGATCTTGATGACATATGTTGTACATACTCCTGATAACGTATGTTGTACATGATCTTGATGACGTATGTTGTACATGATCTTGATGACATAAGTTGCACATTATCTTGATGACGTATGTTGTACATTATCTTGATGACGTATGTTGTACATGATCTTGATGACGTATGTTGAACATAATCCTGATGACGTATGTTGTACATTATCTTGATGACGTATGTTGTACATTATCTTGATGACGTATGTTGTAATTTATCTTGATGACGTATGTTGTACTTAATCATGATGGTGTATGTTGAACATAATCCTGATGACGTATGTTGTACATAAACTTGATGACGTATGTTGTACATTATCTTGATGACGTATGTTGTACATTATCTTGATGACGTATGTTGTACATTATCTTGATGACGTATGTTGTACATTATCTTGATGACGTATGTTGTACATGATCTTGATGACGTATGTTGAACATAATCCTGATGACGTGGCCAATCTTACAGAGATCAAGCAGGCCATGCAAAGCCGGGCTCCACATGGCAGGGCATCGTTATGACGCCACACATCAGACACAGACAAGCAGAAACGTAGGCAGCACATGTGTGGTCGCCGTGGGCTTGTCGCTTTGTTCCAAACGTGCCTCTGT